AGGAATTTGAAAAAATACCAATATACGCATCAGAGGATGCAGTTCTACGTTCAAGCCAGGTGAACTGAGTAAAATGAGCACAGGGATAGAGCAGAACCACACAACTAAAGAAATCTAAATGGATGAAAAGGATAGACTGAGTCAGCTCTGAGGAGGAATGCAGGGGGTGAGAGTGCCTGTCACATGGTCCAGGAGTATTCAATATTGCTCACATCCACATTGAGCTCTCTTCTTAAATTCTGAATTCCCCTTTTGTCATTTTAATTCCTCTCTCAAGATATGGGCATAGACTCCCTGCCAGCACCAAGGCTGGGTTTCAGCATTCAAATTGTCTTCTCAGGTGGTCTTCTCAAGAGGGCTGATTTTGCTGGACCAAGCAGCATAGAGGACACTGTGTGCTACCACCCATTCATCAGTGATGTGTTGCCATCCAACCAAATAGGAATCCAACATACACATTTCGCAGTTGAGCTGAATGCACATCACTGCAGGAGTTTCACAATTAAACCAGGAATAAAAATCACAAGTTTTACTCAAGCCCAGATTAAGATGTCTGTATTTCTCTCTCTCCACAATTTCCATCGTGAAAAGGTAGCCATTAGAAACAGAAATAACTAATAGGTTTTGCTTTGGGTGTTGGTCTTAAGTACATAGAGAATGAAGTCTAGAATTGGTTTTTACTCCTTTTTAAGGATGTCCATGTTTATATTACCTATTTTTGGACACTTCCCAAATAACTTCTCAATTCTTATCAATGCCTCAATATTCACCTTGTTTTTTAAATTTACATCCTTAAGAGATGCTTTGGTTTGGATATGAGGTGTCCCCCAAAATCTCACAAATGAGGCAATGCAAGAAGGTTTGGAGGAGAAATGATTGGGTTATAGCCTTAATCCAATGAATTGATTAATTCCTGATGGGATTAACTGAGTGGTGACTGGAGGCAGAGGAGGGGTGTGGTTGGAGGAAGTGGCTCTTTGGGGGTATGGCTATGGGGTATATCTTTTGTATCCGGAAAATGGAGTGTTTTTTTTTTCTCTCTCTGCTTTCTGATCACCCTCTGCCACACTCTTGTGTTATGATGTTCACCCTCACCTTGAGCCCTGAGGAATAAAGCCTGCTGTCTATAGATTGAGACCTCTGAAACTGTGAGCCCCCAGATAAACTTTTCCTCTCCTAAAATTTGTTCTGGTCAGATCATTTAGTCACCGAAAAAAAAAAACTGATTAAAACACAGCTATGGCTTTGAAACAATCCATAATGCACCATAAAATTTTCCCTGTGTTTAGTTTTGACAAGCAGAACCCTAGGTTATAATATGAATATATAAAAGTTGCCTCATCAATTCTGAATACTCTATTTGTCATGAACACTGGAAGAAGCAAGTTTAAAATTAAGATTATGCTCAGAACTTCAAAGATGGAAACTAATAGGCTGAGGGACTCAAGGGACTTTCTCAGCTGACCAGTTTTATTGGTCCTCCAGAGACTCAGAGTCAAGTAAAAAAGAAAAGGGGTTTCAAGCTATCAAAAAAGCCAGAAGATATTATAAAGAGGCTAAGGTATAAATCATATGTGCAACAGGGAAACAGATTGATCCCAGATAACAATCGCCAGAGCATCTGTGAAGACTTCATATAAAGGCAAGGGTTCATTACATCCTGTCCTTTCTTAAGCTGAAAACTTCCCACAGAATTAATTATTTAAGTTTTTGTATGTCAGGTACTTGGAAAGGTTACCATTCCCTAAAAAATTACTAGATATATGACTGGACCATTTTAATTTCATGCTTTATATAAAGTTGATAATTCTAAATCAGAAGGAATTATAAAGGCACTTTTATTTCTACTCATGCTCTATTCCTCATGTTTCTTCAATATGAAAATTCACTAGAATTGTCTAACAGAGTAGAATTTCAGGTTGTTTTTTTTTTTTTATAGATTACAGGATCTTTCCTGCTGATAAACCCAAGAGAAGGACTAGGAAATAAACTATTGGGATTGAAGAAATAAGGATTCTTTTTTTGTTTGTTTGTTTAAGTTGTTTTGTTTCAAGAGACAGGTATACAAAAACTCCCAAATTTGAAATAAAAAAAGGTGCATCTGCAAGAGGGCAGAGCTAACTGTACCACTGGAAACCACTGCCCCTTTCAACTGACCCCAAAACACACACCCTCAGAGAGCACATCGACAACTCTACATTACAAACGTGACTTTTGCTTTTACTCCTTTACCACCTGTGAGGGTCATAGTAGAGGAGAATGGTTAACTTGGGTGATGCATGTAAACATCTCCCTTGTTGCAGGCAGTTAGCACCTGGGTAGCTTAAAATGTATCTACCAGTGCCAACAGGTGCTACCACATTCTGAAGAGGTGAACCTAGCACAACAGTCCCTTAATAAAAGCTAACAGAATGACCAGTGGAATTTTAGAACTTGGAGAAACCTTAGAGATGGTTTAGCCCAACAGCTCAACTCGACCAAGGTCACACTATTAGGAAAAAAACAAAAATCAAGATCTTCTATCTCAGAACAGTTTTTTTTGTTTGTTTGTTTTGTTTTGTTTTTTCTCTTCTAGGCTAAGCAAGCATCCTTTGAAAAGATGAAACTGTCCTTTTATTCAAAAATGCCACTCTTATATTTTACCTTGATTTATTTAGTCTTTCAGCTTGAGTATTTTCCCAGTTAGGTTACTTCAACTAAATTCATAGTGAACTCTTTTGAACTTGATTTCCAGGGTAAAAACCACCCAGTTGTTCCTTTCCCTGTCCTCTCCTCTCCCTGGTGATCTCTCACTGTGGGTCTTCCCTAGACTCCTTTTTCTACTCTGCTCTTGCATTTGTGACGTCTCTGTCTGCTTCAAAGGACTTAGCCCTGACCTCCGTGAACACCAGACTCATGTCTTCTGGTTTTCCCTGAATACTTGTATGTTCTTATCTCCACAAACATCAGTATGTACCCCCAAATCATCTCCCTTTTCACATACTTTACTCAACTTCTTAGAAGCATCATTGTGTGTCCACGCACAAGAATCTGGAACTTTAGTCTTCTGACTCCCCTTCTACCTTTACCCGGTCCTACTGATTTTTAAGAATTCTTTATGTTCCTTATTGAACTTGTCTTTCTTTTGATTTCCACAAAATCTACCATAACCTAGGCTTTCCTCAATCTCCAACTGTCTCCCTTCTTCCAACTTTTTTCTTTCTTAAACATTCACTTCATCAAATTAATATGTTGTTAAAAAAAATCTTTCATTTTTTAACTAATGCCTTCTCCTCTAATCAGGTGAGTGTACTATTTTCCCACTGCACCTTCTTATTCTCACACCTGCCCACAGTAAGTCCTGAAGCTAGAAGAAATCTCCCAGATCATCACCTGCTCAAAGCTCTGCTGTCTTCAGTGGTGGTACAGTCACCTCAATGGTGCTCTCTTCGACTGTTCTTGCATTTAAAATCTAGACATCACTTTCTTCGGTATTCAGTTTCCAACCATATCCTGTGTCAATTTTCTAATCTACCTGTCTTGCCTCTTTGGTATGGCTGTAGGGACCAAATCTTACATATCTTTACCATTTCTGAAATAAATGTTCCATATTATGAAAAAATGAGAAATGACATTTGAGAGAACCTGATTAGGAGAGAAAACATTCTGAGCTCAGATTCGGGTTTTGTTCCTTTCAAGCTGGGTGAAATTACTTAACCTCTAAAAGATCTCATATCTGCAAAACAGAAGTAATACCAGCTACTTCATAGAACTGTGGTGCAATTTAGCAGAATGTATACACATGTGTATGTACATGTACACATACATACGTATGGTATGTAACATGGTATCTGACCCAGAGTGAGTGATTTTTTTAAGATGCCAATTATTATTTTGTTTACAATAGGCACTCCTCCATTTTGGTCCATATTTTAAACAATAAAAGCCATGCTAAATATTTTTTTCATAACATGCTGTCAATATTTCATTTCATGTGACATTTTATACCACCCATCACTATACCTAATAAAAAATTACTTTCCTAAGCTGCATGCCAAAAGAGTAGGACAGACAACTTTCATTCTTCAAGCTATGCCCAGGTGATAAAACTGGTGCATAACACTGTGCAGATAGTTTCATCCATACATATAACCCAATCAAGCGTGATTTTATGCAATAATCGTTTTATTTGTGGAATTTAAGCAGAACTAAAGAATCTTTGGGAAGTGTAGAAAAGCTTCCAAATAGCCAGGTCAATGGGTAAGATTTTGTAACACGGTACTGCTAGAGCCTGTCAAAAAAAAGTTTGATGATTAATGACCTCAGCCAACTTTTGCTATGAAGAAAGGCTCGAACTCTCCTTCAACCAGCAATGCTGTTACCAAGTTCAATCAGTGGCTTTAATAACCACAATGACATTGTACTGTCATGTGTAACTAATTGAAACAAATAAAAAATAAAAAATAATTTTAAAAAAATAACCACAATGACAATGGTGTAGTACAGTACATTAAAAACCAATGTCCTGGCTGAGGATGTTGCTCAGTGGTAGAGTGTTTGCCTCGCAAGTGGGAGGCCCTGGGTTCAAATCACAGTACTGCAAAAATACAAAGACAAAAACTAACCAACCAACCAACCAACCAACTAACCAATAAAAACCAACATTCTGTCCTTTTGTTACCTAAAGTGTTTTTTCCATAATAAAACAGAAAGTCTTTTGTACTGTGCAGCAGATCACAATTTTTCCTAGGTTAAATCATACTGGATTTAAACAATCAGATACTACGCCTCCACGAAGACTGCAGGAACTTTCCACTAGGGATATCTGCAATCTTGCAAAAGCGTTTGCATCAGGGCACAGAAAATCAAAGCCACTTTCTCTCTGCCATGCCTTGGGCCTCCTACAATGAAGAGCAGCCACAGGGCAAATCTCTCTCTACACCACCACCCAAACAGGCTTCCTTGGAAGACCCAGCCTCATTACTTCTGCACCCCTAGACAGGGAAATTGCATGGCCTTACCGCAGAGGTTAGACGAGCAAGAATCTCATCACTGCTTTCTTCGGCGTCTTCAATTTTCTGATGAGACCTTTGAGAAACAAAAAACAAAGTATTCAACTTCGGTCCCTCAAATTTATCTTCCAAGTTATAAGGAATAAAGGGCAACTAATGACACCATCATTATGACACAAGTGAAAGTATGCAAACAGCATTGTGTCTGTAAAGCCACAGAAACACAATCCTGTTGCAAGACAACTATTTCTTAAACATTAATTAGTAAAAATCTTTTTAAACTGGGCACAGTGGTGCACACTTATAATCCCAATGGCTGGGGAGGTCAAGGCAGGATAATCACAAGTTCAAAGTCAGCCTCAGCAATTTAGTGAGACTGTAAGCAACTCAGAGAGACCCTGTCTCTAAATAAAAAATTTAAAAGGGTTGGGATATGACTCAGTAGTTAAACACCCCTGAGTTCAATCCATGGTACACCCCCCCCACAAATGCACCAACTGAATTCTAAGGATCAAGTACTGTTCTTCAAATATCACAGAATAACCCTGACACACCCAATACAAATATGGGCATGCACAAAAGCACATCAGAAATATAAGGTGGTTAAGTGCTAAAATTTCCTCTAGATATAAATGAAATACAAGTTTTAAAAAGTATAAAATGTGAATTTTTCACTACACTTGAGTTTTAGTTTAAACAACTTTTCTGTGAAATAGTATGCTTTAGGCCTAATACTATAATGGAAATTATGAAAATACAAATGGCAGAAGAAATCTGCTTTATCGGCACGAGACCACAGCCCAGTTGAAAAGCCAAAAAACAAAACAAAAAAAAAACAAACAAACATGCATTTGTAAAATAATTAACAGGGTAAGGTATATCAGTTTGTTTGTTTAGGAAAAGTCACATTAAAAGTGTTTTTACTAGTTCATTGTAATTATACATTATAATCATATATGCATAGAACATAATTTGTTCCATTTCAGTCCCAGTTCTTCCTCTTTCCTTCCCTTCTTCTTTCCCCCATTCCCCTCCCTCCACTCTGCTGGTATTCCTTCTATTTATTTATTGTTTTGTAATTGGAACTGTATATAGATATACACATAGGTGGAATTCACTGTGGTATATTCACATAGGTTCATAGTGTGATTTGGTCAATTTCATGCTACTGTTCCTCCCTTTTCATGTCCTTTCTCCCTCCCCCTCAATCCCCTTCCTCTACTGCACCAAACTCCTTCTATTTTCAAGGGATCCCCTCAGCCACCCTGCTTTCATTCCTTCTTTTGCTCTAGCTTCCATATATGAGAAAAAAAATTGGACCCTTGACTTTCTGACTGGTTTATCTAACTTAGTATGTTGTTCTCCAGTTCCACCCATATACCAGCAAATGCCATAATTTCATTCTTCTTTATGGTCGATTAAAACTCCATTGTGTATATATATACCATATTTTCTTAATCTATTCATCTGTTGACTGGTACCTGGGCTGGTTCCATAACTTGGTTATTTTGAGTTGTGCTGCTATAAACATTGATTTGCCTGCATCACTACAGCATGCTGATTTTAGTTCTTCAGTATAAATACCAAGGAATGGGATAGCTGGGTTATATGATAGTTGGTAGTTCATTCCCAGTCTTTTGAATACTCTCCATACTGCTACCCTAAGTGGTTTTACTTAAAAAATTATATTTTTAACTTAAGTTGTGAAAAAATTTCCACTACGCAAATGTATATACTAATATAAAATTTTCTACTTAAGAAAAATCTTACAAATGACATTTTTTCCTGGTTTGATCAAAGAAAAAAAATTGACTAATGCCAACTGAATATATAAAATTGTCTCCCAAATCTATTTCCACAAGTAATCCCTTTCGACACATTCTATGTATGTGGAGTGTTTCACAGTAATTGCCCTGTAGAGCCATGTTATCAGAATCACAATCCAGTGATTGATTTCAATCTCAGAAGCGGCAGTGGGCCACCTGGAGCACAGGCCTTGTGGGGCAGGAAGGTTTCTCCCAGCTCACAGGAGAGCTGAGCAGCAACTCTTCAAGAAGGGAAAAGCTAGTCGGATCAATTCCAGCATTGGCTTCTTGCTTCTGTAAATGTTATTACACCCTTTTTCAAGAATAATAAAAAAAAGTCACATTTTTTAAATCAAAGCAATGAATTACAAGCCACTGCCTTTACAAGAATTGCTAGATGCAGGTATAGAGCAGTGCTCAGGTTATCAAATACCTTAATTACTCATGCAGCAGCAAGGTATCTGAAAATCTTGCTAATGATCTGCCCAATAAAAACAGTGGGAACTGAGCACTATGCCTTGGCATATTTAAAAAAAAAAAAAACTGGATAATGAGTCTGTCAAACAGCAAATTTTATTATTAAAATTCTACTGAGAAGAGATCTATCTATCTGAAACCCTTTACAACCTAAGCCACCAAACCAGACTTACGTGATTAAGCTAAAGTGACTGGAGGGATCTGACAGGAAATTAAGAGCCAAGCACCCTAGAGACAGGGGCACCAAGCAAGGGCTTCTGCTTTATCTGTCTTAGAAAGAGTGGGCTGGTGCTGCCTCTTCGTTATTCTCAAACCCCAAAAGATCCCTGGAGGATTAGTTAATGGGCATGAGTGTTTAGTGCTAGCACAGATTCTGCCATGAATCTATCCAATAAACTGCTGAAAGAAACTCAAAATTCCAAGGGAAGCACGCGTGTACATGATTGGTAATGGTTATTTCATGAGCAATTGGCTGAGCTGTGGTTGCTCTAGTGACAAATAATTCAGTCCATGCTCAGAAGCAAAACTATCTTTCATCATTCTTCCAGCACAAAACATACCTTGGCAAAAACGTTTCTGAAGGAAATAGATATGAAAGAGAGTGATGATCTCCTGGGAGCAATCCTGCCGCCCATATCCCACTTTTACTACCTCAGTCACCACGATTTAGATTTATACCCAGAATTCCCAAATCCTTCTCTAGCTTCTGAATCCCCCTGAGCTTCCTTGTTTCTCCATCTGCCTTCAAAATAACTCTATGTGGCAATTCCAGGAACTTTATGCTCACCCATGTGAGCCTCTGATAGGTTCCATGAACTGCACCTGACTCATACTGACCCCTTTGCCTCCAGCCCACACCATCTCTCCGGGCCTCTCACTCCTTGTGGCACCCAATTCACACCATGGCCATCTCTTCTTTGGCCAACCACCACATCCTCCTCTTTCCTTTGGTCCCTCCCTCCCTGCCAGGCCTCTCAGACAGTCCAGGCATTTTACCTCTCTTGAATACATAACTCTGATCACCTTCTAATCCACTTGTTTGGCTCTGCTCTCTCTTCTTCTGCTCAATCTCATATAGATACCAAAATTACCTCTCTAGAGCCCAAGTCTGGGCTCACCATTTCCAGACCCTTCTCTTCAGGTTTACCCCCACTGCCGGCTGAGAGCTCTAAACTTCAGAAATATTCTTCCTTTCCTGCCAACAGAACTCAGTCTCCCCTCCACCTGCAGCCACCTGCATCTCACCTAATGTAAAGGAGGCTCAGAGGAACAGGATTGGCCATCATAGGCAGACAGCTAAAGAGCTTGAGAAAGAAGGAAGGGAGAAAATGAGAGGACAGCACTTGGCTACTCTTCTACCGTCAATGCCATGGCCACTTTTTACCTTATTCTACCGACTCAACTCTATATGTCTAAACGCCCAAAACTATAATTCACTTTTCTTAGCAAATGTATTCTTATAAAATGTAAATAAAGTTTATTTATATGTGCAAATACACATCAGTGCAACCCAGGAAAGTTCTCACTTATCAGATCAAATAGATAATGAAACAAATGCTGCAGAAAAAATATCAAGTCTAATATTTGCATATTTTCCATTATTACCAAAGGGGGATGTGAACAAGAGAGAAGCTGTGGGTTTGGTGTATCAGTGGTTAAAGAAAAGAAACAAGGAAACTTTGGCAGGAATCAGCAACTAACAGCAGTAGCAAGTGACAGGAGAGAAAGGGAGTGACCCCAAGAAAGGAGACCCATCCCTGAGTGTTTGTGCCAGTAGGAAGCTCTCAGCCAGCAAGTTCTGTCTTTGGGAATTCTCCTGGTTGCTTCTAAAGGACTTTGTTTACCAACAGGGCAGGCCAGAGCTGGTTAATTCTCCAAGGGAGAGTGCTGAGTCCTGGTGCCGATGTCTTTATAAGTTTCTGAGATCTAATATTTAAGGGTGCTACTGTAAGGATTCAGGATGGCAGAAGCTTTGCTCCTCTGCCCTTGTCCCACCAACCATCAAACTGGATATGTCATCATTCTACTCACCCCTCTCCCAAAGATAAAAGAACAAGCTTCCTATAGCCTTCTCCACCTCAATGAGTGGCAGCTCCCCCCTTCTAGCTGGAAATCATCCTTGACCTCCCTCTCCCTCACACTCCCTGCTATACCCATCCTGAAATCCTGTTGGCTGTTCCTTCAAAGTGGATCTCCCACTTCTCACCACCTCCATTACCACCACTGTGGTCACAGCCACATCTCTCGCCTGGACCCAAGAGCCACAGTGATCTTGCAAAAATATAAGATATAGCACATCTCTCCTCACTCAAAATCTTGGAGTGACTAGCTCCCTATCTCACTCAGATAAAACCAAAGTCATCTTTAAAGAGTATAAACAGTGTATATTTAAGGTGTACAGGGTGGTGATTTGATCTCTGTAAACACTGTATATTTAATGGTCAGTATCCATACCCATCCGCATGTTAGATCCTCAGAACTTGCTCAAACTCATGACTGAAAGTTTAAACCCTTTGATCAACATTGTCCCCTTTCCCTGCCCTTAACTGTGATATTCTGAAGAGGTCCATATTGCTTAAAAGAGCAAATTCCTATCTTTTTTTTTCTTAAAGTAAGATGGTAGAAGAATAAGAATTACATTTTTCTTGAGATCTTGATATCATGAATGCAAACACCTGTTCACCTCTTGAAAGAAAATCATTTTTCATAGAGTCTAGTTATGCTGACAGAGGAAATTTACAAAACAGTGACAGATTGTGAATATGACAGGTTTCATTAAAGGTCCAGGGTACAC